AGGAAAACATTTTTTACTTTAGACTTACAAAGACAAAAAGATTTTTAAAAGTATAAAGATCATGGCTTAGCACCTATGCTCAGGGGTTACGGCACTGGCCACATTCACTGGGGCTGGTAGGTTCGAACCTGGCCTAGGTCTGTTAAACAACAGTGACAACTGTAACAAAAAAATAGCCAGGTGTGGCAGGCACTTGTAGTCCCAGCTACTTGGGAGGCTAAGGCAAGAGAATTGCTTAAGCTCAAAAGTTTGAGGTTGCTGTGAACTGTGATGCCACAGTACTCTACCAAGGGCAACATAATGAGATTGTGGCTCAAAAAAAAAAGTATAAAGATCATGAAAAATAAGAAAAGAATGATAAACCGACATGATGACTAACTACAATGTGGTGGCTCCTGGACAGAAAAAGATGTTAGTGGAGAAACTGGTGAAGTCTAAGTAAAATCTGGAGTTTGTTAATAATAATGTGCCAGTGTTAAGTTTTTGGTTTTGATGAATGTACCATAGTTATGGGATAAGACGTTAACATTAGGGGAAGTCAAAAGGAGAAAATTGGAAATCTAAAATTATTCTAAATTTTCGGGTAGGTGTGGTAGCTCATGCCCATAATCCTAGCACTCTGGGAAGCCGAGGCAGGTAGATTGCTTGAGCTCAGGAGTTTGAGACTAGCCTGAGCAAGATCAAGACCCTGTCTCTAAAAATTAAAATAGCTGAGTATTGTGGCAGATCTCAGCTACTTGGGAGGCTGAGGCAAGAGGACTGCTTAAGCCTAGGAGCTTGAGGATGCTGTGAGCTATCATTCCACAGCATTCTACCCAGGATGACAAAGTGAGACTCTGTCTCAAAAAAAAAAAAAAATCCAAAAGCTTAAAAAAAGAAAAGAAAATTAAAGATACTCCCAAAATAAACGCCCTAACATGCCACTGTAAATGGAAGTTGGTATATCCTCTTGGATGACAATTGTATCTATCAAAATAAAAAATGCTCAATTTCTTTTGACCTATTCAGTATCATTTCTAGTATTTTTTTCTCCATACATAAAGAAAGGTACAAAGGTATTTATGGCAGTATTGTTTATAATGGCAAAAGTGTGGAAACTGCTTACATGTTAATAAGTAGATGGTTGGTTAATTATGATAGAGTCACACAGTGGAGTTCTGTGCAGCTCTTAAAGAAAAGGAGATGGATTAAATGTATCAATATGAAATACAAGCAGTTCTTAGGTTATGAACAAGATAGGTTCAGGTTGAATTTGTATGTAAGTTGGAACATGTACATTTATTATCTGTAATAGTCTCAATTTGTAAGTGCAAGTTGTACATAAATGGGATGTCTATAATTCGGTGAATGCCTGTAATTCCCCAAGATGCATTGTTAAGTGAAGAAAGCAATGAGTAAAATAGTATGCTGTTTTCTTTTTAATTAAAAGGTGTATGTGCACGGCGCCCATAGCTCAGTGGGTAGGGCGCCGGACACATACACTGAGGGTTGCGGGTTTGAACCTGGCCTGGGCCAGCTAAAACAACAATGATAGCTGCAACAAAAAAATTAGCCAGGCATTGTGGTGGGCACCTGTAGTCCCAGGTACTTGGGAGGCTGAGGCAAGAGAATTGCTTAAGCTCAAGAGTTTGAGGTTGCTGTGAGCTGTGATGACACAGCACTCTATCCAGGGTGAAATAGTGAGACTCTGTCTCAAAATAAAAAGGGGGGGGTTATGTGTAGATGTATAGCATCCCCCACACAAACATTGCTATATGTGCATCTATAGTGTATACATATAGCTGCCTCTATAGGGAGAGTCTTGGCCTGGGGTTAGGAGAATAACTTGCTTTTTCCTTGTTGAGCTTTCATACACTGTGTGGGGTTTTTTTGTCTCTGTACAAGTATTACTTTATTAATTAGAAATGATTATTCTATACATTAAGGGAAATAAGGCCAGGAGGTGGAATATTATTTATCTAGAAATGGATGGAGGTATCTTTCTCTCTGCCTGGCAAAACCCATCCTTTCTAACCTGTGTCTGTTAGAATCTTGAAAGTGAGTCTTGCTTGCTGGCTTTACCGAAAGGTTGATAAATATGAAGGTGCAAGGAGAGGCTGGAAGAAATGTGTCTCTCTTTACCTAGTGAATTTATAAGCAGACATGGGACATGACAGTTATCACTTTGCATCCCAAGTAGCATTCCTTTCCATGTATAGTGGAGCAAGCCAAGGAGATACAGGGCAGATGTGGGGGACTGAAATAGAATTTTCCAGTTTTTGCCCATGATTTCAAAATTCTGTCCAAAGGTATACTTTTTTTTTTTTTTTTGAGATGGAGCCTCAAGCTGTCCCCCTGGATAGAGTGCCATGGCATCACGCTCACAGCAACCTCCAACTCCCGGGCTTAAGCGAGTCTCCTGCCTCAGCCTCCCAAGTAGCTGGGACTACAGGCACCCGCCACAATGCCTGGCCATTTTTTGGTTGCAGCCATCATTGTTGTTTGGCGGGCCTGGGCTGGGGATTTGAACCCGCCACCTTAGGTATGTGTGGCTGGCGCCTTAGCCGCTTGAGCCACAGGCGCCAAGCCAAAGGTATACTCTTTAAGGGAGCTTTGAGTTCCTCTCCCTATCCTCTACCAACCCACCCTGAACTATGCCATTGCTACTGCTGATACACCCTTATCTCTCACTGCTATTATCTTCCTTATCCGGAAAGTACTGGATGATGATAGTATTGACATTCCCCTGCCAATATTTTATTTAAGTGAACAATTTAAAACATAGAAAAGTTGAACAAATTATACAATGAATGCTTATATAGTCACCACCTACATTCTACAGTTAACATTTGGCCATATTTCTTTCTTCTTTTTTTTGAGACAGAGCCTCAAGCTGTTCCCCTGGGTAGAGTGCTAGGGCATCACAGCTCACAGCAACCTCCCATATTTCTTTATCATGCATTTCAGAATAAATTATAGATATTAGTACACATGCATGCACTAGAGTAGATTCACTTTTTTTTTTTTTTCTTTTTTTTAAGAAAAATGTATAGGGCTAGGCATGGTAGCACACTCCTGTAATCCCTGTGCTTTGGGAGGCCGAGGAAGGATAGTTGCTTAAGGCCAGGAGTTTGAGACCAGCCTAGAACAACATAGTGAGACTCCACCTCTACAGATGTGTACCAGTAGTAGTTCTAGCTACTTGGGAGGCGAAGGTAGGAGGATCCCTTGAGCCCAGGAGTTGGATGGTTGCAGTGAGTTATGATCACATCATTGCACTCTGGCCTGGGTGACAGAGTGAGACACTGTTTAAAGAAAAAAAAAAAGAAAAATGTATATACAGTGAATTAATAATTGAGTGAAATGTTCAGACCTTAAGTATCGTTTGATATATTTTTGACAAATGCATATACACTCATAAACCCAAACTCCTTCAAGATTTAGATATAGAATATTACCCCAGAATGTTTCGCAAGTTTCTTCCCAGTCAATCTCTGACCCTACTCTAATGGTAATCATTGTTCTGATTTTTTTCACCATTGATTAGTTATCTTTCTTAATTTCATGTAAATGACATCAGACGATGTGAATTCTTTTTTTGTGAGATTCCATTCATTCAGAATAATATTTCTGTGACTCTCCACATTAATGTGTGTATCAGTACTTCTTTCTTTTTTTTGCTGAGTAGTATTCCATTGCATGAACCTACCATAATGTGTTTATCTGCTTTCCAGTTGATAGATGCCTGGGCTTTTTACAACTTGTAGCTATTATGACTGAAGTTCCTATGAACATTCTTGCATAAATCTTTTTGTAGATATATGCTTTTATTTCTCTTGGGTAATTGCTAGGTTATAGAGGAG